AATAACCTGGACAAGAGTTGCAATGCCTAACCTCGTCCTCAGCTGAGCGGCCATCACGTGCGCACATGCGCGCCATAGTTTTGATTGCCTAAGCCGACGGCTGGGTAGCCAGCGGGACACACACAGATAACTGATACGTAGAACTCGAGTATTGCTGGGTCGCCGTTGGACCCTTGGTCCGCGCAAGAATTGGATAAAATCACACACCGGACGGACGTGCGAAACACTGAAATAGATAGCTTGCAGGTTACACCAGATTAATAAGCCTTACAGGAACCAATCAGCAAAAGGAAAAAGAGTGGACCAATCAGCTATCTTTCAAACGATCTTTGTGTGGCTGTGTTTGCTCATCGGCTCAGCGGTTTAGCGGACGACACACATGTAACATCCCCTCACGTGACAGATGGAGTCACAGTTGTGGAATGTAACGTTCTATCGGCTTAGGTGAGCGGTGCGGTTTCCGCATAGCAATCGGCTGATCGATTTCTTCCGTTTGGTTTTTGTTTGTCTTTTCCAGATGTTTTGGAACCACTTTCTCTTCCCCAGGGTACGGTGTGACTGGGGTACGGGGCCGGATGAAGTCATTGTGCCTGCGTACTCTCTCTTCACTCTCTAGTTGTATTTCGGCCTCCGTTTCTGAGCTCGTAAGCACGGTGCCAGGCTGCCATAACTGCTCATGTGGTAGTTTCGTGTAAACATCACGTTCCACTATCGACTTCTGGGACTTAACTGGTGCGCGTCCACTTTCATGCATACGTTGTTGCTGGCAACGCCTGGTCTGACGAGGGTCTGGAAAAGGTAAGTCTAGTCTCGTAAGTAGTCGACGCTCAAACATTGCCTCCCCAAGGCTCTTTCCGATAGACTCTAGCGGTGTGGTCCGATATGCGAACAAGAATCGGTCAAGAGTGGTTCGTAACGCTGCTTTAGAAGACCAGCCTTCACGGTTTGGACCGCTCTTTCAGCTAAACCGTTTGACGCTGGATGGTACGGTGCGGAAGTCATGTGATGATCGCCGTTCCTCTGCAGGTATTCTTTGAACGCTGCACTCGTAAATTGCGGACCGTTGTCTGTGACTAATGTTATCGGTATGCCATGTGTAGATAGACTAAAGCGTACGCCATTGATTGTAGCTTCTGCAGTAACGTTTGCAACAACATGCACATCAATCCATTTGGAGTACGCATCTACTAAAAGTAGCAACATTTTTCCTTCGATCCGGCCAAAGTAATCGGCATGGACACGTTCCCATGGGCTGTCGGGCAACTGCCAAGGGTGAATTGGGCCAGTTGGATTATCTCTTTGATATTTTTGGCATGTGTTACAAGTACTCAAAAGTGCTTCGATGTCTCGGTCCATCGCTGGCCACCAGCAGTAGGATCTGGCGAGGGCTTTCATGAGGACAATACCTGGATGTGCATCATGTACTTCTTTCAGTAGAACTGACCTGAGAGTCAATGGAATAACGATGCGAGATCCACGCAGGATACATCCTTCATGCAAGCTCAGCTCAAATCTGCAATTCGAAAACGGACGCAGATCACCAGGGGCTCGCGAACCCCAGCCACACAGCAGCATACGTTTCACAGTCGATAGAACGGGATCTCAGTCTGTAGCTTTCCTAACCATGTCGCCAGATATGGGCGTACTATTCAAGTGTTGCAAAAGTTGAACAAACTCGTGGGGCGCGTCACTTCTTTCCTCTTGTTGGTCAATCTGTGGTAATCTACTGAGCGCATCAGTGACATTATTGTGAGGACCGGCAAAATATCGGATTTGATAATTGTAAGCAGAAAGTAGGAGGGCCCAGTGCACCATTCGGGGTGCTTTAAGTTGTTCTATACCTAGTTCCTTACCGAGAAGTGATAACAGTGGTTTATGGTCAGTCTGTATCTCAAACTGGTTGCCCCACAAGTACTGATGGAACCGCTTTACTCCGAGTACTAAGGCCAGTGCTTCCTTGCCTAATTGTGCGTAATTTTTCTCGACAGGTTGTAATGTGCAGGACGCGAAAGCAATAGGGCGAACTGTTCCGGCGTGGACTTTATGTCCTAGCACTGCCCCGACTCCAAAAGGTGAAGCATCACACTGTAGGCTGAGGGGTTTGTTGGGGTCGTAATGTACCAAGACTGGTGAAGAAGCAAGGAGACCATTTGCCCTGTCAAATGCTTGTTGCTCCTCCTCGCCCCATGCCCACTTAGAATCCTTTTTTCAGCAAGTTGCGAAGTAGTGCTAGAACAGAAGCAAGATTAGGTAGGAACCGACGATAATGTGAAAGCATTCCAACGAACGAGCGTAACTGGGCTCCGTTACGAGGTGAGGGTGCAGAAATAATGAGTTGTAGTTTAGCTTTTGGCGCGTGTAAACTATGTTTGTCCAGTCTATAACCGAGGTAGTCAACTGAATCAACTAGGGTAGCACATTTGGAGCGTTTCAAAAACAAACCGTGTTCAGAGAGTTTATACAACACCCGGTCCAACGTGTACAAGTGCTCCTTTTCTGTGCGACGCGTGATAAGGATATCATCGAGATACGCGCAACTGTTCGGTATGTCACGCACGATATTGTCAATTATTCTTTGGAAGCTCGCCGGCGCTGAGTTAATCCCGAAAGACAGTCTAGTGTATTCGAATAGCCCCAAATGTGTACTGATCGTCGTAAGACGTCGGGAAGTCTCATCCAACTCTACCTGCGAATAAGCGTGACTCAAATCCAATTTAGTAAACTTGACTCCTCCAGACAAGTTGGCATACAAATCCTCAATTTTCGGTAATGGATAACGGTCTATGATGGCACCTCGATTTACTGTAAGCTTATTATCACCCCAGATTCGTACGTTACCGTCGGGCTTAAGTACAGGCACTATCGGGGCTGCCCGTTCAGCTTGTTGGACTGGTACAATTATACCTTCTCTTTGAAGCCTTTACAGCTCGCCTTCGACGCTAGGTCGTAAGGAATTGGGCAGTGTTCTGGCTTTAAAGAACTTTGGTGTACTTGAGTCTGACATTTGGATTAACGCTTTAAAATTATTGAGACTGCCCAATTGCTGCTCGTCAAACACTTCTGGATATCGTTTAGGGACCGATTCAAAGGTATCCTCCCCCACGGAATGGATAGTATTTAATACTTGTGGTAACATTTTCATCCAATCGCGACAAAGCAAATTGACTAGAGTCTGGGGCACGACATGAAGTACCAGACTGTGTGATCTACCCTGATGCTGCACTCGGAAATAAATAAATAAATGACATATTTCTCGACATGCGAGACACAGGCAGACTACGAGCCTGATCATGTGGTACAACAAAGTCGGGTAGTGGAGAGGGATATTCAGTGATCTATTGTGTTCACAGAGGAATGTTTCAGTACTAAATCAATTCAAAATAGTAAAGGAGTAGGAGTAGTAGAAGTTGAGAGTAAGAATAAAAGTGGATATAAAATGTCAGTTTAATTGGAGTAATATGACCCATCATGAAATCGTCTCCCGGAGACCTGCTTCCACACTTCTCTTCCACATCTCATCTGGCCATGTGCTATTGTGGCGTTATATGTATACAGTTATGTGGGGGCCTGGGATATATATTAAGCTCTCCCCATCGTATAGCCATCTTTTATCTGATTTGTTTCCAGCACTGTATTGTGGGGACCTGTGTTCAATGAAAAGCTCTCTCCATCAAACAGCTATCTTCTAGCTGATTCAATTCCAGCACTGTACTGTGGGGGCCTGTGTTTCATCTTAAGCTCTCCCCATCGCACAGCCATCATTTGGCTGATTAGAATCAAGCACTTGTAATATGTGCCAGTGAGTTTGTGATAACTCATACTGACACTTCCCAAGTAAATCAATCACTTCTCCCGTATAGGTTCTAAAAACGGTATCAGTCGGTTCCAGGTCGGGTAACGATGAGAGCGCGTTTTTACTAATCAATGTCACCGCGGAACCAGTATCAAATTCAAATAAAACAGGTTCGTTATTAACATGAAGCGTGATCCTATATGGAGACACTTTCGTCATAACTGAGCACTTTGGAATTAAATGGTTCATAAAATTTAGCTGGGAATCTGGGCACTCACCGTCGTCGGAGTTCAATGATTTAGCTTGTTGGCATGGTGCCACAAGCTATGGGAAATGCGATGAGCAAACGGAGAGAGAAAATGTTGTAACAGTGTTCATGGGAATAGAGTGTTACAAAAACTCCGCCATTGCGCACGGCTTCTCGCAATATCCGAAGGAGTCTTTAGCCATGAGTGTTACTGGTCCTTCATCCCCAGCCAAAAAGCAGAGCGCCTGACCAAGGCCAACTTTGATGCATGAAACCTATGTGATGGGTTCCGAACTACTGAATGCTAATGTAACTAACCGCTCAGCTTATTTCGTTAGATTGTAATAGCCATTAACTTATTTTACCTGGTACTTAGAAATTCAGCTTTTTGACTTTACACTATAGCGAATTAAGTTTCCTTGCATTCTTCCTCAGATAAACTCAGGTATGCACTCATTATCGATGAGTATGGATGGATAAAGTTGGCTGACCGGTATTAAATCCATGTTATCTTCATGATTAACTAATCACGTATCTACATACTGGTAGAAACTCGTCACATCTAGACTCACTCAGACAGCCGACACACGCCCGGAAAAGCACTGTACGCACTTTTCATCCTTTCTGGAATCGTCACCAGTGCGCATTCCATCGGATCCTGGTATGCCTCGAACCCGCAACTCGACTGTTGCCAGTCAGTGGTTGAGATCACTGCATATTATCCAACACCAAACTGGAGGTCGTCCTATCCACCCGATACATGTTTGGTGTTCACCGATATTGGGGTTGGGGCGTCGACGGCCAGCCACATCATTCTGTGAGTTCCACACTGTCTTCCTGTCCAATCACGTACTTAAAGCTTGACGGTGATGTCCATCCTCCAATCGGTTGCGCAGGTGACTCGACCTTGAAAAGCGCATGCAAATCAACCCGGTGCTGGAGACATGAGGCCCGGTCTATGCAAAGTTTTCGTGGACACACTGCGTTTATCCGAAGTTCGTCAGCTGATTTTTGGTAGTCGTTTCCAGCGGTACTACTCTACCATCTATTAACATCAATGTGTAACAGGACGTAATATGTCGTCGTAGAGAATAGTAACTGATATACCGAAGGACATATCCAATTGAGTACCCCGTTGTAACATTGTCAGAAACCAAGTGATGGGCGGCTGCTATGAATTCGACATAGATACCGTCCGAACTTCTGGTCAGGAGCTGGGACTTGGTGTTTCAAATATCCGGGATCCTGACCGGAGCAGTGGCATCGTCATCTCAGAGATACTGCAAGACAGCCCACTTAGCGGCTCAGTGAGGTAATTTAAAATATAGTGTACTAGTTTTAAGAATTGGCGATCAAATCCTATCGGTGAACGGGATATCCTTGAGAGATGTTTCCTATCGTGATGCAGTTCAAATCTTGCGATGCGTTGGGGACCACGTAGTTCTTCGCATTCACAGGTGCAGTTCCGGTGGTGTCAGTTTCATTAGGTAGGTCTATTTTGTCTTAATAAATATATTCTTTATCACCTGATAAATATAAACATCTTATAAATATGAAATCTGAAACTTAATTGGAGACTACACTGCTGGAGACTCCGCAAGACTAAAGGTACAGGTTGTCACAAAATTTATCTCCGTTGATCAAAATCATGCATCCTACCACACGACTTTGTTGTTCCCAGTACAAATTAGCAACCACTATTTGTGGGGCTCTGCTCGTTTAGGTTCTTCATGCGCGGAAATTGCTGGGCTCAGATTCGCGTTGTCCACCATATCAACATTTGAACTATTCACATATGAGCCATAGCAGAGGACCGGGGATCATGGTAAGTTGGCAGAGGTCTTCAGACCGGCCTCTTCTAGAGTCCAGCCCTATGCATGCACTGAAGAACGGGCATAACAACGGAGGGTGAGATGCACCATACCATAGTGGGTGACATGCTCCAATGCGCCGCTGCTGCCGTCACTTATCGAAAACTACAAGTATGCACTCGCTAATTTCAATACAGAAAGATCCGCGCTGTCACTGGGTTTCAACGGGATGAAATTTCTGTACAGTATTTCCCGGATTATTGTCTTAGGACAACAGCTCAGCTGTATGACGACGACACCTCAACATTTTTCAAACCACATCTAGTTGTTTACTGAACTTTTGTTTAGTTATTTACTTCGTTTTCCGGAATCACGTTACGCTTCCGAGTGTTGCATCAACGAGGCCTGTGTGCTCGTCAACGTGAGATAAGCACCGACGGTACGTTATTGGCTTAAGTACTAGAATTCGCTTAGTTAAATATATACTTGGTCTAACTTACGAAGGGCCGAAGTGTGCACCCCGAAATGTACACGGTCTTTCCAGTGAACGATGTATACAAAAGCCAGGGAGCACTTTCAGTGTTTCCTTTAGTTATTGTTCCAATGTGACGGTTTAAGCTTATTTAAGTTATAGCTGCTGCATCTCAACAACCGCACATCCTCTCAAGTCATTCTAGATCAGCTCCATGACCGCATAAGCTGGGCCCACTGAAGTGTTCCACTGGGTCGCAGGTGGCTGTAGACCCCTACCTGAGTAACCTAGTAAATGGTCCTCCAATACATTGTGCATTACAAACGTGTGAAAGACTGGATTGGTTCCCAGCGGTACGAGTGCTGTCCCCAAATCTATAGACAATACCCCAGGATACAGCATGTTCGAGTGGTGGGTTTATGCAGAATTAAATAAATAAATAAATAAATAAACGTTTTATTCCTCAGCAGTGCGAGGCAAAGACCAATTGGGTGGTCTTAATAACATGTACAACGTGATCGCATAATATAGTTAATTGTTCGTCTTTTGATCAAAGGTTCCCATAAGGGTTTTGAAATGATTAGCAGTCAATAGGCCAGTCACAATTTGATGGAAAATCTTGGCGAGTGACGACGATGGTACAGAGACATCAGCTTGGAAGGCGTAGTGCATCAACGAACCAGTGCGTCAAAGGAGAAAACAGAATTGGTTAAACGGATTAATAGGAGTAAGATCGTTCTCAAATATATACTCAGGAATGCAATTATATGTAGGTAATCTTATATTATTGAAACGAATAGAGGATATGGTGACTTTCATACGTATCCAGGACCTTTCTCATACAAATCATCTAGAGTCACCGTTTGGCTTAGTGTTGACCAGATGTTTGCAACAGTCAGGTGAATATTAATCATGTGTCTGAATTGTGCATAGGTAGTGGAGTTTCTAACACTCGATGGAAGTTTGTTCCATATTAACGCGTATTTTACAGAGAAAAATTTTGAGCGGAGCTTTGTGTGAGACTTTGGTATTTTCACTGTGCGCTCGCTGTTTCTTAGTTCATAGCCCAAATGAGTCTGAAACTCGAGTTGTGGCTGAGCAGTGAAGGTCAATCCGAATAGTAAGCGGTATAAAAGGCACAGATTAAGTTTGAGTCTGCGTAGTCATAGCGGCTCCAGATTTAGCGCCTCGCAACGCTCACGGTATGTCAACAGTATGTCAACACTATACCTATGATATGACGTCGCATTTCCTGACGGACCATCTTATTTCTTCCACAAAGATACTGAACGCAGGCAAGGTATTGCCTTCTTAGTTAATGATATCCGTTTCCGGCGTCTCTCAAATCTAAACTTCTACCAGCACCTACTATTTTGCATGAAAATGGGCTCTGGTTACACTATTGCAGACCCATCAACACTTCCCATACCCTGCATAACGTTGACGAAAAAGTGTTTCACGGTCTTTGGACACGACTTTGACCTAGGCGGACGAAACTACACACACACTCATGTCACTCATGGGTAGCTGAATACGATTGAGAATATTCCACTATCAGCTAGCACAAACATCTACCAAAAACCGTACATGCAACGTACACCGAGGTAAGCCACACACACTGCCGGCACTTGACGAGAACGGAAATGTCTCTTGATGGCCGCTTACTACTTAACATAGCTGGAAATATCATACCAGGTGTTATTCCATGGGGTCGTTTTGCTTTTGCAATTTGCTTTGTGCCTTTTTCTCTACCACACGAAGTGCCTGTCGTTCGGCTCCTGCACACCTCCGCGGTCCCTTGTTTCAACATTAGCGGAATGGAGATGTAGGTAGTTCGAATTCCATAGAAACATCTGCATCACTGTTTCTTTCTGTTTCAGTCCACCGGAGGCAATGCAATTTCCAGTTCCCGCTGGTCACCGATTAGATCCTTCGCCTGTTCATCATCCGTGCCAACATCCACACTACGTATTACCGCAGTCGAGGAGTAAAGTTGAGTTAAATCAGCCGAACTGCGGCTCAGCACCACTAACCCGATGCCAATCCCAATCTGCTGCCAGTCTATTTACTTGCGAATGTGATAAACAAAAGGAACTTGCCACACTCCATATTGATAAACGCGACAACGACGAAAGTAAGTCCACTGTACTGCGGGGAGGAATTCCAATTAATAGGCCAATAAACATCGCAATACACGTTTCATTCGGAGCACCGCTTTAAGCAATATGTGTTTCTAAGTATGCTTCTAACACTATCTTTTAGACTGGGCTCAGGAAACTTATTCAACGCATTAGTGGGTCACGATCTGCATGTTGGCTGGACATTGTTGACGATTTCCGACCGACATGTTGCAACAGCGAGCGGGAACCTTGCGGTTTGGAATGCTTCATTTTCATCTTAGTGGGAACAGAAAAAGCTACCACTAAGTGCAGTTTACGCTTCAGGATAGCGCACGACCTGCATATATCTATGATTAAGTATGTACACATTTTGACGGTAATATATCAGCCGGTGAACGAAAAGGTGTTGGCGTAATTTCTTCATTTTTTTGGTGACAGCAGGTTGCAGAAAATATTTGACGGAAGAAGCACAACGATCGATGCTCGCTGCGATCTTAGTGAACAGTAAAAGGTTTTAGGAGTTATGCATCTATCCGTCAAACGGGTCCTTTCAGCGGGAACTTTATTCTTCTCTGTAAACCACGTTACTCTGATACTGTTCAGTAAGTAATCATTCGGTAGGGCGAAGATTATGGCAGCTTTCGATAAAGGAATAACCTGTGTACCGATGCAGTGGCCAGTGATCATTCTATAAGTGTTCTTCAAGTTTGTATTGAAGGACCACGCCATTCAATGCCAAATGTGTAGGTTGCATTAGCTATAGTTTCCATCTCATGCACTCTAACACAACTTGAAGTTACAATGCGCCTAGTGTCGCACACAAATGACAAATTTCAGCAACTTTTCTTGCTCAGTGGCTCATTTGAAACAAAATACAACAGCAAACGATTTGTAAAGCATGTTTGCCTTTACTTGATGGGCTATCGACAGTCCTTTTTACAGTTGCCTTGATAATTGTGTACAGTCAGCCGGCTTACGGAGTATGAGGGTCAGGACTGTCCGTTTTCACGCACTGATAGTCCCTGAAGTGTTGTTGCGTGTACCGCCATGCTCCTTGCATGCTTCAGGAGAGTTCTGGATGTGAACTCGACAGACTACATGTGCCTTATGCAAATATCGTTGACGACTCGTTCCTCACCACGGCGTTTTTACCAAGTTCTTGCCAGGTTATGCTCTTATATTCATCGCAACGAGACTGGACCTTAGCGTGCTGCGGTGGTTTGCGTACCCCCGTGACCCACTAAGCTATACTGGGTGGCACTTCTAAGTACACTCAGAGCCACTCATGCCAGACAGGTCAACGGTTAGGGTCAGACTAACAGTCTCCCAATTCAATCCGCTTCGGAGGTTAGAGAGAAATCGATGGCGCTCTTCCTTTAAAATTTAGCCATGGGTGACAATAGATCTACGAGTTATATGCTCACAGGTAGATTAGCGTACAGCACGAGTGTCACGCATTGTCTCTGACGGTGCAAGAGCACCTTCCAATGCTCAATGGTTTGTTACCGCCTGCCTCAAGCCAGACAATCCCTGGTCAACTTGATGCAAACCTGCCAACTCCCGCCTGCGGCTGACCGTCGTCTAAGGTGCGTAACGTACTACGGTCGTAAAACACGTGTTCACTTTGCTGAATCTTCAAAGGCTGTGTGCGCCATGTCTCATACAGATCCCAATGGGTCTCTGGAATCACACACCAGAGCTGAGCTTGCTCCTCACTGCCTTGTGGGTCAGGCTATTAAGACAAAGGCTTCTGATGAAGTTCCGCAACCGAATCTCCAAGTACCGCCTCCTTGTGGATCAGACTGTTGGGTCAACGGCCAAAGGCAAGGCACCTCGAACAAAATCCCTCTCTCGGAGTGGCCAGCTGGAGAGTATCATCTGCCCTCTCGATCACTTTGACTATACTCTACTTCTTCTTGTTTTCTCTCTCCTATCTCCTCCCTTCTTTACCATGTATCTGGGAAGAAATTATAACCGATCTCTTTCCCGCCGCCATCCATACTCACAACTCTTTCATCAACCCTACCGTTTCATTTCACATTGGTTCCTTTAACGTCCGCACTTTAGTTAAGATAGTCCAGAAGGCAGCACCGACTCTCAATCTTCACTTCCTTGGTAATGATGTGAGCTGTGTCTCCGAAACACGCATATAAGATAACAGCGTTGTGACAAATTTTCTACTCCGTTGTTCTGAATCTGACGAAGATGACAGCACTCTTCGCGTCTCTGGCGATTCTGAGTCAATGGCTCAAGGTATTTGCGGTGTTGGCATTGGCCTCAGACAACAAGCTGAAGGCAATATACTCGACTGGACGCCAGTGAACAGCTGCATGCGTGGGGTTCGACTTCAAACCTCTATTACAGTTACTAAGCACCGTAGGTAAACTATGTGCCTTTTCATCGCCTCAGTTTATGTCCCTACTGAATACAGTTTAGTGGGTAGCAAAGAAGCTTTATATCAACAGCTCTCAACTCTTCGCATGGTAAAGAATACTGACATGGTGATTGTTGCTGGTGACTCGAATGCCCAATTGGGTCGCCTTTCAGACTGTAAACAACATCTGGGCAGCCGCTTCGGAGTCGATGCCAGCAGAGCAATGGTGATGGATTCCTACAACTGTGCACTGATCACAACCTTTGCCTTAACAGCACTGCTTTCCAGCATAAATGTTGACACTGCTTCACCTAGCGCCCACCGAATTCCCCAAGGACCTGGACCCAAATTGACCATATTGCCATCAGTTGCAGATGGCGCACATCATTCCTAGGCCGTCAGTCAATTTGGAGCACATGCCTGGACTCTGACCACGATCTAGTGCGCACACTCTTGGGACTCACTCTTCCCGCTTCAAAGAAGCACCTATCTTCTAAGCTTCTCATCTGTAATTTGAACTCGCCATCCGCAGTTGGACAATTGCATGTCGAACTGGCCTACCAAATGTCAGTGAGGAATGAGGATAGCGAACCGAACCTTAACTAGTATCGCCTCGAATGTACCATGAATAATGCCTTTGACATATGATGTGCACCCAACTTCAGACATCGTAAGTGCTAATGGATCTCTGAGGCATCGATCAGCTTGATCGAGGCCAGAAAACAGGTTCCAATGGCCACTGAGTATCAGCGTATCCGTGACTCCCTGAAACGACGTCTGACAAAGTGTCTTCGAATCGATCGGGAACGTTGGTAGATGGCAAAGACCAGTGAGATGGGAAAAACCAGTGCTACTGGGAAGAGCCGTGTGCTATTCCTGCTTAACCGGAACACGGGTCCGAGAAAGCCAGCAGTAAGCGGGACGACAGATGAAAAAACAGACAGTTGATCTACTCTCAGCGTTGTCGACTAGCCCGTTGGGCGGAACATTTTGAGGAGCAGTTCAGTAGGCTTGGTGCGACACTACCACTTGTTGATTCGCCTGAACCGATGTGGGAACTGAACGTCACACCTCCCATTTTGGGATTGATTCGACACCAGCTTTCCATGTTGAAACTAAACAACGCTTTCGAACCCGACGACGTTCCGTTACTTTGCTGAAAGATGGTAATGAACCTTTGGTAACTGGATTCGCTACTTTAGTTAACACGCTTTGGCACACTGAAGAGGAGCCTTCAGACTGGCGATTGTCAAATGTCGTGCCTATCTTCAAGAAGGGGTTGGCGTACCTTGTGCGCAAATCGTCGAGGCATTAGGTTTGTTACCGTTGCATCCAAATTTCTCACAACTTACTGGTCCCCGTGAGAACCGAAGCACTGAAAGTCAGGCTGGTTTCCGCCATGGTCGTGGTTGCATCCACCACATATTTACTCTTCGCCAAGTTATAGAGCATTGACACACATATAAACGACCGACTATGGTAGTTTCCCTTGACTTGAAAGCCGTCTTCAACCCTTTTGATCGACCAGCTTGTGACTTTGTCTATCCATTAAATCTGTTTCGGCTAAATTCCTTTCCATTACTTAGTCTATTTATCACGACTACCGACGCCGTGTAATGTCCCACGGGAAAGAGTCTCCTGAGTTCCGCAGGACAAGTGCAATTCGCCAGCATTGCATTTTCGAGGAAGCCACCACTATATCCTCTTGCTTAAAACCTTATCTCTTGGTTTTACCTCCACCTTACCTCCCTACGAACTCTGAGAGCGTTTTGTATGCGAACAATTCTGGGAAATATTCCTAACACCCGCCATCACTAGTCGGAGCAGACATGACAGCCGTACCGCTGTCATCATACATCAGTATATATTCGCTATGAAAATCATTGAGCGGCGTGATATTGAATTGAATGCTTCTCAATCAGAATCCACATTCGATCACAGTAAACATCTGACTTGTAGCCATGTGGAGTTTGACAACTTTTCCAATTGCATATAGTGGTTGGATGTCCACTACTTAAAATGCACCATTGAAAAGAAACGCCAACGTTAGCGACCCTGTCAGGGTATGGAATGGTGAGTAAGTAGCTCATTGTACTAGACGCTTTCGTTCACTCTGTTTTTCGGGTCTTACCGTGATGTGATCCCTGCGCCAACTACTATACTTATTCACCGACCACCACGCATGCTAGAGGGGAAATGTTTACCGATCCCTAATGAGAAGTGGGTCAACAATTAAAGGAAAATACCACAAGAGCAAAATTCTTTTAGTTTTGGAACAAAAAGCTCTGCGTACCCACATATCATAAGGTGATTAAAGCTGATTAGTGTTTGTGTGTCTCGTTCAGGAAATGCGCTGCCCGCTAAAATGTTTTCATCCTTTTATGCAAGCATTTACATTTGAATTACACAATCCAGTTAGCAAGTGAGTCGATAACTTCCTGCTTTACAGGCCTTGGAGTTGAACTGGTCAGCCGTATATTTGTTCAGTCAGTTGCAGAAGGAGGAATTGGCGAGCAAGCTGGACTAAGGCCAGGGGACTGCCTGGTCGCCCTCAATGGAGTCAACACGGCCCACCTGAGTTTAGTGGACACAGCGAACATGTTGCGTCGTCAAGAGACTTTGTTGGAGGTAGCCCGCCCTATAGTAGACGAGGCGAGTGGACCTGCAACAATAGCCCATTCACAAGAGCTTCTCCACGACGGTAACGATGCGGTTACATTCAGGCGATTCCATTCCAACACAAAATGGTCTCAACGTTATGGGGCTCAACCCACCAGGAATGTGGCCACCACCAAGTCTGCATCGATGCATGAGTTGCGTAATCCACTTTCTCGGTGTCAAAGCTGCTCAAAATTACTATATGCCGATGAATGTAAGTAGTGGAAAAGTTGTCCGTTCAGTTAATGAAATTTCATGCTTTGTTTTACTGAGGTGCTGCAGAATGCGGTTTCCGGTACTGCCTTGTCAAACTACACAGCCAAATTGCTGCTCAGCAGTCTGTTCGGCTTTGGAACATGCTCTATGTCAGCTTTACTGTTAACCAGGCTACATGTACCTGAAATGGTGTGGCCCAGACCATCTTGTAGTTTTGGTATTAATAATTTGAGCAGCACTTTCAGAAGTGTTCCACGTGACTATTCTGCTGTTCTATGCGCTCAGTTGTTAGATATTCAGGTAAAAGTTTGTTGTTGCATCTTACTTCAGGGGTGGGCGATTCTACTATGAGAATCAGTCTTCCGCAATAGACGAATACCTCAATAGATGAAAACGAACGAGTATACTTTCAAACATGCCATTCACAAGCGTTGTTCTATTATGGTTCATGTCCTTATATACCTGCGATATTCTTTACATATGGACCTACTTGTTACAGCAAAAAATCTAGCAGATGATAGTTTCTTGTTTGCTTTTAAGGCCTTGAAAACTCTCGGTCACCTGCTAGATTTGAAACAGTGTAAGCTTATGATTATGCCTCCTCAAACTCCGTGCTTGAAGCATAGTATCGATGGTGGGTACATGACATTTTGTTGACTAAATTGCTGTTATTTTGAACAAAACCATTTTAAGCAATTAGTCGCACCACCACAAGTCGCGTTGGATGACATTCGTTAAGTCTGATCATTCATGCTAGTACATTGTTGGCAGCAACTAGGATAATGCTCTCTATGAGACCAAGTACACTTTACCACCTCACTGAAATGACGCATTGGGTAGTGCCTTTCTCTGACCCGCAATGGCATGTTTGGGAAAAGTAAAGAAAGAGGACGCCTTCCCAGCCCTTAACTATGATTACTCTTCGGTCATACAAGATTATGATTTCAAATAATTATGCGTATTATAATAACGATGAGCATATTTACTGAGTTCACGAGAGGTTGTTTCGGTACATGGGACAGAATCTTATTTAAAGTTAGGAGCCTGCTTTAGCATATATATGGATTCAGTAGTGCCTAGATTGCTAGAAATTTCAGAGCTATGCAGTTTCTATTGGCGTTTGGTTTATTGTGTCTGTTCTTTTACGATGGCCATATATTTCTCGGTTCTAGCTGGGAAAAATCTATCGAATTCTGATCGCGGAATCTATCTTGTCTAACGCATAATGTTCTTGCGTTTGCACAAGACCTTGTGGTGGACACTGCCACAGGACGGCAAATCCGATGAGGACAAAATTAGTGAGAATAGCCTGCATACTTCTTCGTACGGTTAACAGAGAACTCTTGTTAAAAAGTCGTCGAGTAAACGTATGTTGTAACTCTATTGTGAACGTATCGGAGTCGGTCTTCTGGTGTAGGAGTAAAAAGCCGTAGGTGTAACAAGCTGTATCTAATCATCTCAACCAAAGAGACTCAAGGTGAAACTGATGATAATGTTCCTGATAGTTCAAGATAGAAACTTTTCTTCACAGGTGCTTCGTAATTGACCTTTGCAAGCGGTCCAGCTTTTTCCTATCATTCACGCTATGTTCCCACAACTGAGGCTACCGTACTCAGAAACGGAATGGCCATTAACTATAAGAACCTCCCGTTTGCCAGGGAATGTATGGATTTTTGGGAATATGTTTGCCATAGACTCCTTGACCTAGGTTGTTTGGCATTCTGGTTACTCAAAGAACGGGGTATTGGAAGAATATCCACTTTTGAGGTCAAAAGTAAGCAAACATCCGCGAATGAGATTGTTTTTCAACTTAGTTGACCCTCCAGAGATCGAGGATCCATAAAAATTTTTGTGTTGGTTGTCTATTGAGAACTCCATCAACCCACTGCCGTACCAGTTCGCAAGCAACTCAATGTCTTCCCGCGCGGTTAGGTCTATCTGCTTGAAACCTATGAGCAATTTCGATACCGACTAGGAATACTAATGGCCTTCATTCTTTGTCGCATATCCCGTTGATGTTGTTGTTGTTGTTGTTGTTGTTGTTGTTGATGATGATGATAATGATGATGGTGGTGGTGGTGATGATGATGATGATGATGATGATGATGATGATGATGATGATGATGATGATGATGATGATGATGATGATGATGATGATGATGATGATGATGATGATGATGATGATGATGATGATGATGATGATGATCTAAGGTAGGAATAGTAATGAACCGAGTACCATTTGTCGAACAACACAACTAGTGCCTGGATGTGGAGAAGTATAGTAGCCACTGAGAGTGACTAACTGAGAATGACCAGTCAGTTTGACCGCTAGCTGACTCAGTAGTGGGTTCCGAACCCCAAATGTCTTTATTTGTGCTGGTCGTTTGTGAAACACCTAGCTAAACTGTTTTCACATTCATGTACAAATTATATCTGCAAATTTAGAACCAATGAAAGATTTGGTGTAAGCCCCGTTATGGAGTTTGCAGCGGGCGTAACATCAGTTGTAGGAAGGACCCAGGTTCTAGATAAAGAACATCACTGAAATTTACTTACCTTTTCGTGTATTCTAGCAACTATCGGAGAGTTATAGTGACGAAAATGTTTAGGTAAATAGCGCAACGCGAAGGCAACCGATCACCGCAACTCTGGCGGTAAAGGAAGACAACCGATGGTAGGCGTTGCGATAGTTTATTTTGATAGCTTTTGTACTGGGTGTCTAAGATCACGCCGACACTGCGAGCTAGCTATGTGATCCTATTCGAATCAACAACTACTCAAAGATAGGCCAGCGTAGTTCGAATTCGAGAACGGCGCGAACGTGTGCTGAAAAATTCTAACAACCGCATGTAGGCGAGCACAGACGGAAACCTTAGATACCCTGGATACATGGTAAACTAAGTAGTGTAGAAAATCTTTACCCCAATCCTCAAACGAACAGAGGGAATCGCCGGGCTAACATAAATTGACCAATTGGTTGGTAATTACGGATTTTCTTTTTCAGAACACCTTTGTGTTGAAATAAAACCTCACAACTACTTCACTAGCTTGCTCACACTTCGAACTTGGAGAGTACTTCGGGGTTCAAATATTGATCTGTTTTAGACACCTTTCTCCTGATGAGAACTAGGGCAACTGCTGTTGTGGGCACTAACCCTGCCTTGTATTATTAAACAGAAAGTAGAAACAGCCCTATGGTAGCATTTTCAACCTCCAGTATATCTAAAGGGTTGGTGACCACTGGTTCCCAACAATTGCATTGCTACGGTTTGCAAAACACGCCTTTCCTACCATACTGTCGTAGGTACGTGTAAGATCAAGTAAAATACTGTGATTAAAGACATGACCAGAATTCGCTTCAGCTTCCAAGAGGCAAAGCTCCAGTCCGGTCAACAAATGAAGCACGAAGGAAGTTGCGAGGTTATCGATGTTGCCGTTCCCCAGTAGTGTAACCAGTGACTGGTTTTGCCTGTGGCCACGCAGTTCAGGTAGAGTCTTCCAAATTTGCGAATAACACCCGACACGGGCTAGTTGACCGTTGTCGCCTGAGTACTGAGCCTGCGGGCTACGCGGTCAACTCGTGTTATCGCATTGAGCAATTCGCCGTTGAGCTTTGAAGCATTCAATGTGCGTTTGAGCCGATGCAAACAATTTCAACTTACACCAGTATTTATTTCGCGGTAAATTTATGGCGAGAATGGAATGACTGGGCATCGGAATGCGGTACTGGGTGCGAGCAATATCGGAGGCGTCTCTGCTTGGAATGCGGTCCGTGAGGTCCGAAAGAACGAGGTTTATTTCGTGGTGCATTTTGGTTCGAATTGGGATTTTGCGCTGCATCCTAACCATACACTTCTTAGCACAATATGTCATTTAATCTTATCTGCCCGTAAATTACGACCAATCCAACCTCCTCATCTTGCGCTTATTGTTTGATCTGTACCTTGTTGCCTAGCTAACATCCCCCAAGCTGCGAGTAAAACTTTGAAATATGACGCTAGTCTTTAATGCTTACCGTTTTCGCTGTTTTAGTCAACCAAATTAAGTGTGGTTGCTTTCCGCAAATCTCCATGTGCTAATTTACCCAAATGATCCAGGTAGCTTGAACATGCAAAAATTATGGACCTCATCAATAGGCAGCTCACTAACGTCTGGGCAAACCCTCTATATGAAAACAACTGCAAATAGAGATTTGGAGTACCCGCTGTGTAGTTGGAGTGCGACAAGCAAACTCTATTCAGATCTCTGTTCCCTCTGAAGTGTAGACCTCGGTCATTGCGATCACAAGGACCGGATCCGAAGTTGAGATGGTTCGGTGTTGTTCCTCCCAACACGGACACCCCACAACCGGTTTCGTCCTCGTTTGGACTCAGCACCTGCATCTGATGATTGCAAGCAAGGATGAAACCGGTTATGGAGTATCAGTGCTGGGATGGACAAAACCGAACCACCTCTAATTATTTGTTCCGTTAACTAGGACATTCATTTGTATGTTACGCTGATGTAAGCGCTTCTTACATCTTCAAGAATTTGTCCAGGTTTCAAAAAATTCTTTTTAGACCCATCGGCTTTTTCGCTACTTTATCGGCCTTTAATATGCCACTAGGACAGTAAACGACGCTGACATCAACACGCCCCAGAGTCTTAGTTGTCGATTTGGCCTTACCATACACTTCTCGATCGGCTACTAATACGTGATGAATCACCTTACTGTATGCATTTGGAATGAAACCACGGATTCCCGATTCTGTTTCTGAAATGCAATTTACTCACAAACCCAATACGCATAAGGACTGGTGGGTGCAGCATTTGTATGTAGAGCTGCATATTAAAGCCAACAAATCATCATACATAATTTATCGCGATTTGCACTGGTTACCCGAAAAGCGCACTGTGATCTATTGTAGTTCGTAAAACAGGCACCTATAAAACGTTCATCGGAGTGGTAATCTCCCATCGGCTGGTGCCTTTCCCATTCCACTATGTCCGTCAACAATC